GTTTAGAAACAAAAGCATTCACTTCTATGAAATCAAGGTATTACAAACCAGCTGGGGCTACAGGGAGACCCTGTCTCAAAAAACAAAACCAGAAAACAAAACAAAACAACAAAAACAAGGAAAGCTTAGATCAGGGTCCTCAGCTGGTGTTTGACCTTGACTATGCTGACTCCTCTCCATGGATGCTCAATTCCCCTCAGGTTTAGAAACAAAAGCATTCACTTCTATGAAATCAAGGTACTAGAACTATGAGCTACTTCTCCCTGTATTTAAAAAAAAAAAAAAAAAAGAATATGCAACAAAATTTTGCACTGCCTCACTAGACGAGAACACCCTGCTGAAAAAATTCACAAACAAATCCACAAGAAATATTTTTCGCATAACACTTATACATAGAATATTTAAAAAAAAAAAAAAAAAAGAATATGCAACAGAATTCTGCACTGTCTCACTAGACGAGACAGACCTGGTGAAACAATCTCATAACAAATCCCTGACAAATATTTTTGTTTAGAAAACTTCTTAAAGGGTTTGGGAAAGTTTTGCATAAAATAAGTCCGATATAAAATAACCTCTAAGCTATTACAAGTCTCACCTTGAGGAAGCATAACTCAGTGGCTCCCAAATCTATCAATGAACTACACACGGGATCCTCTGAGAAGTTTTAATAAAACACTGGCCTTACTTCACGCATCCCGAGTAGATGAGCAAGCAGTGAACCAGGGACCGTGCTTTTTTTGGGGGGAGGGGGTCGGTTAAGACAAGATTCTCCCTGCAGCCCCAGCTAGCCTGGAACTTACTATGGAAACCAAGTAGGCCTTGATCTCACAGCGATCTGCCTGCCTCTGCCTCCAGAATGCTGGGATTAAAGATGTGTGTCACCACACGTGGCAGGACTGTGCAGTTTTAAGGAGCCTTTCTGAGGCTCCTTAAGCAGTTGTCAACATAATCTTCATCCTTTCAAAATTTCTTTAAATGACTTTAAAATGACTGACAATGTCCACCTCAGCCCTAGAAAACCAGGGAGAATTCTGTTGATAGGCAGAGAACAAGAAGGAATTTCTGGACAGTAGGAAGAGATGGAGTCAATGAAACCCCAATTGCCAAAGAGCCTCTAATGGACAAGCAGTGAATTAACAGTCATCATCAGAGCCCCAGAAGATTCCTTAGAACAGAGGCAGCAAGGGCTGGGAGCAGATGTGAGTCAGCTACCAGGCAATTAGGGAAGGGCTTGGTAGTAATTTGCTTCCTCATTCTTGGGGTGGCTGAAAATGGAAGAGAGAAGGGCAGGGTTCTAGGTGCGCTCTGGTGGCCAAGACCAACAGGCAAGTTTCCTTCCCCCATGTGTACATCCCAAGGGAAGCCCCTCTGCAGAGCAGACACCCTCCCTCCTGCATCCTCCGCACAAAAGGCTCCTGTATTGGCATCGACATTCACAGGGGCTTTCTTTTAAACCCATGTTGAAAAAATAAACCTAATAGCCCCTCATTAAATGGACTGCTGGCCAAAACAGAAGCAAACATTTCCATTCATTTAGTTTGTAATAGTAACAAATGCAGGTACTAACTCCAAAGACAAAAGAAAATTCCAGAAATCAGTCAATGTTATTTTTAAAAAGTGGGGGAGGAGCTGGGAACACCATAGCTCACTTGGTGGCATTCTGGCCTAGCACAGCTGAGGCCTGGGTTGGATCCCCAGTACCTCACAAACCAGGCATGGTAATATATTCTCTGTAATCACAGCACTCTGCAGGAAGAGGCAGGAGAATCAGAAGTTCAGGGTCATCCCCAGGTACATAGGGAGTTTGAGTCCAGCCTGGGCTAGAGACTGTGTCTCAAAAGTTAAAAAAATAAAAAATAAAAAAGCAAACAAAAGAAAGAAAAGTAAAGAAAAAGCTACTAATAAAAAACACAGGCTACTTGGAAACTACAACGAGGTCAGGAAGAACAAAGCCAAACTACACCTTAGAAGAAGGGCTAGACAACACAATGGGAGGAGCTTGCCTGAAGGAGGAATAAACACAGCTGATCCTCCTGATAATCACAGATTGTTTCTCTCAGGGTCATCATCCCCTGCAGCACCACATGGGCTAGGGGAGAGCCCAGGGTTAATTCAGGGTGAGGAAGAGAAGGACCAGGATCTTAAATAAGCCGCCCCCCACCCAAGGTGAACCTAGGTCCCTGAGTCTTCTGCATCAAATTTGCCCAGGATGTACTCCTCCTGGAACATGTGGGCACCCTTCATTTTTCTGAGGTTTTTTCTTCTCTTGGGGCTCAGTTGAGCCCACTTCCCACTCAGCAGGTCTCCTTGACTTCCCTTCCCAGGCTGACTTGTGTTCATCTCTGTGCTCTCCCATTATCCCTCTTTACCGCCACAGCTAAGTCTAACATGCTTCGTCGAGCTCTTCATTCTGATCAGCACTTTCAGTCTCTGTCTTTCTCATAGACTATGGTTCCTCAAAAGAAAGGCACTGGTTCAATTCAGGTAGAAACCTGGGCTGTCATTCACTTTCCACTTACACCTTCTGTGCTTACTGATGGAACTAAGCCACCGTTCTAACACCCTTGTGCAAGCATACAATAGTGTTCTGTCCACCGCACTCACAGTTAACCCACCATTCAATACAAGTACCTATTTATGCCATGTTGGAGCTCTCTGAATTCCGTAGTGGGCCATCGCATTTTGGAAGTTTCTGTATTTCCACCAGGTATCTAACAGTTGATGCAAATGGACCATTAAGAATCCAACAACTTGGTGAAAACCTAGGAAGTCCTACAACAAAAAGGGTCAGTAATATTTTCGTTCCCCTTAAATGGTCAATGGTCACACACAGGTATTTTCTTTTTTAAAAAAAATATTTTATTTATTATTTTTATTTTATGTGTATGTGTGTAATTGCCTACATATAGGTAAGTGTACCTGTATCATGCAATGCCTGTGGAGGACAGAAGAGACTGTTGGATCCCCTGGAACTGGAGTTACGGACAGTTGTTAGCTGCCATGTGGGTGCTGGGATTCGAACCCGGGTCTTCTGCAAGAACAGTCAATGTTCTTACCTTGCTGAGCCATCTCTCCAGCCCCCACACTTGGGTATTTTCATTTGCCAGATGCTATCTGAAGGTTCTCCACAGTCAGTCCTAAAAGGTACTAGGAAATCTGGCTTTTCTTCTGTTTTTCTCCTGAAGTGTACAGCCTGGCAAGTGTATTACGCCAGAATACAGGAGGACAATAGAATCCTGAAAATATACTGTCACCATTACAGGCTGTCTGCTAGTCCAACTACCCAAGATACTTCTATCTTGAGTAAAGTTTATAGAAATAGTCTAAGATTTTTTTTCTCCCCTTGACCCAATGTATTTATGATACCAAACCTCCTGGGCTACATGTGTCAATTGGGAACACAGCAAAAATATCTACTTTGCTTTAATAACAGATGAGGTGGAAACACTAGACATGTTTCGAGCAGGCTGACAGAAACAGAGAAAGCAGGTCAGGAAGAGAAAGCAAGCCTTGGAATTCTTGGCTCACTGATGTCTCAGTTTCTTGGGAAATCATGCTTTTTCAAGAAAAAAATCCTTTTAATCTTACTTTTATTTTGTTAGGTAAGTCAAAACTCCCAGATTTTAGAAGAAAGTTCTTCAATATATAAGCAACCAAAGCCAACGCCCTACAGAGCCCAAAGTTTAGGAATTCAGAAGTTCAATGCCCTGGGGGCCTGGGAGTGTCATAATCCCTATCTAAGCAAACATAGAGCTCTCCTAAATGCTCTCCTTTAAAAGGTAAGAAATCAAGGAAGGAGTGAGTTCTACCACAGTTGGGGAAATCTAAGGGTTTGCAGCAGTTTACACAACTAGTATTTCTTCTTCTCTGGAGCTTTAATGGTCTTTGGGTAGAAATTCCCTAAAGGAAACCAAGTGTCCTTCATTGCCAACAAAAAGAAACCCTGCCTCCCCACAAGAGAGCTGGGCAACCGCAGCACTGCAGAGGTAAACAGAAGTCCTTCAGGAAACTTTAATGTTTTTCAATGGAGGAGAATAAAGAAAGATTAAGGTATTTCCTTTGAAATAACTTCTCACTTCTCTCTACAAAGCTCACCATCTTAGATAATAGCCATCTTTCAGAGGTACAGTGTAGGAAGACCAGGTTAACACTCATGTATGGTGCAGGAGGAAAAGATATGAACAGAAAAATGCACAAAATCACATGGGTTTTTAATAGTTGAGGCACAGGCCTTGAGCTCAGGAAGAGGCGTGTCCTAAGCTCCTTTAACATACTGTTTACCCTCATAGAAAAGCAAGCCCAAAGAATAACCTTGAAGAAAAAGAACCCAGGGAGAGTCAAAAGGTCTAGCTCAAACTAAGAAGGAGAAGGAAAGAATTAAGAGGGAAAGTGGGGTCCTTTTGCAGTGGAAAGTCCCACCCTGCCTCTACTTCAGTTCTGGAACCTTCCACACTAACACTGAATAAGACATAACATAAAAGGTGACATGCTTTCAATATCTGGAAAAGAAAATGTACATTTGTACATTCTAACACGCCTTCACTTCCAGTACCCACGCTAAGCAGAGATGGCCTAATTAGCATGCAGCTGAGTGACAAATATAGCCTGCTTTATCAAAACTGCTCATTAGCTGTACAAATTGTAGTTGATAATCTATGAAAGAAATTCTAATTCAGCTAAGTCAGTGAATGTCAAACAAAGGACAGCAAAATACATGTTGAAATTTCCATGTTCTGATCTTAGAAGAGTGGCTCTCGGATATAATTAAATCAAGGCGCAGGCTTTGCTAATTGCATCATTTTAGCAACAGAGGCAATAAGGCACATAAAGAGCTTTCTTTTTCCAACAAAGAACTTTGTCACAAGGCTATCTGAACATTTTCAAATTTATAATCTTTCCTGTCAAAAACCTCTCCACCAGCATTTACAATCTCAGCTTAAAACACTAGAGCCCACACAAACAAGATATCAATAAATGACAAGTTGGGAGTTTCCACATACCTAGATATATTGTTGAAGCTGAGAAACAGACGTTGGAGGCAGGGCAAATTATCCACATCTCTCTAGAAGGAAACAGAAAGCAAAAATTGATCAGTTGAAAGGGGGAAAAAATCTATTGAAATGCCTTCTTGCTCAGCTGTTGAAGACAAGTCATTTCTGTTTGCTGCAACCTTGCTACACAGTTGATTTCTACTGGGCACTGAGCCCCATTCTTCTCCACTGCAGATTAAATGGGAGGGTTTCAGTACATCCGCAGAGCGAGCTGCACCACTCTCAAGGTAAAAAGCACAGAAGGGAACGGGAGCGCTGCGGCTAGCCTCTTTCAGCATGCTTTTGGGAAAGACGCCAAGATGCTACCTCAGCATTTACTGTAGCACACTCGGCCTGATCAAACATTTGTTCCAAGTCACTAAAGGAAGTGTGATCAAACATTTGTCCCAAGTCACTTTTCAAAGGTCATTCAAAAGCTTTGTGAATCCATACAAAAGTATGGAATCCAAACAATAGTAAGAATTTCAAAGCCATTTGCCTCATTATTGTCAAACTGTTGGAAATAGATTACTCAGTTATAAATGAACCAATACACTCATTATTCCCCCCATAAAACTAAAAGCAGATCATAATGTCAGTGAAGGGAACTGTAAGGCCAACCCTAATCTCAGCACAAACTGGAGGTTTTTACAGTCTATGCAAACATTTGTTAAAAGCATACCACCAACATTTAAAAAGTTGTCCTTAGCAAATATTGAAATATTCAGGCTCAAATAATTACAAAAAAAAAAAAAAAAACCAAGCAAGAGTACCTAATTTCATTAGGCCAAAAAGACAAACCTTCTGAAAATCATGACATTTACTGGAGGAACAGACTTCAGAGGAAGCTCAGCAATTTTACCCTGCCTACAGCCGTGCTGTTCGTAAGAGGACAGAGTTAGCTGAGGCCACCGCAGGGGCAGGACCAGGGTGCAGGGGAGGTGGTCGGGCAATACCTCCTGTCCCAAAGGCTGAGGCAGGACTACATTCCTGGTTTCAGCCTTCTGCTCCTCAAAATACTACTGCTGCTTCCCACAGAAAGTGGGCTTTCATTTCTAGTGCAGTATCCTTTCTAACAATTGCCATCCTCAGACCTACCCCTGAACACCCTGATACACAGAGGTGAGGTAGTGCTTTCTAGATCTTCCCGTGGTCAAGGTCTAAGTCTTCCAAAAACAGATCAGCAGTCCTTTTCTCCTGATGGGTGGTGGGCTAAGAAATTTGGCAAACTTCTTGAATCCTCTCTGAAGAGATGCCATCTTCAACTTTCCCATGGGGGAGGCATGCATGCTTTATTCCAGGGCCCTACTTTCCACAGGAATCGACTGTTTTTCTTATGTTTCTAGGAATAGGAAATCATAGCTGAACTTCCTGGGAACCCTCTCTCTACTCTGGGGGAATCTCTTCTTCCCAATTCTTCCTGAAGTCTGCCTGAGCTATTCCTGGGTGCAAGCAGACACCCAGCTGGGAGAAAATGAAAGGCAGTTGTCTGTATCCCCTTTGAATCAAAGCATCATTTTTAAAAGCTGTACTGTATTTTTGATCTCTTGCACACCGTCTTCAGAGAGTACAGACAGACACCTTTTGAGACATGATTTTTTGCAGTTAAAGTACAAATTCAAATTATTTTTGAGAGTTTGCCTGGGTAAGTTTGGCTGCTGCGCCCACTGCGCCTTGACTCCCAAAGCCTCATTCACCCTCCCAACACTTCCACCCCATCTCTCCTCCCAGCAAGGGGACTGGCACATTTCCTGTCTTGGCACCCCAGACCTCTGGACTGACCTCTTGGCCCACACTCCACACTGCTTCCTGATCCTAAACATTCAGACCAAACCAATTCCTCTCTCTAGTCCCCACCTCCCTTTGCCTCTCTGCTGGGCCCAGCCAGACAGCTTCCTGGGGCCAGCAGCTTGCCTGGGTAAGTTTGGCTGCTGCTCCCACTGCACCTTGACTCCCCCAGACTCATTCACCCTCACATCTCCCCCACCCCATGTCTCCTCCTAGCAGGGGCACTGGCCCATCTCTTATCTTGACACCCTAGACTCATGGACTGACCTTTTAGCCCAGAATCCCCACTGCTTCCTAATCCTTTGCATCCAGACCAACCCAATGCCTCCCCGTGGTCCCCAGGAGCCCTCCGGCCTCTTCTCCCTTCCACCTCCCTTTGCATCCCTGGGGGCCAGCATCTTTCTAGGGCCCTGCTCCCAGGCAATCCCAGCCCTCAAATTCCTGAGGCCAGCACACTTCCTAGAGGGATCCAGACCTTAGGAGAAAGCCTGAGAGCATCTGATCCTCATCCAACTTGGGCCTCTGTGGGAACTCCTGAGCAGCAAGATGAAAGCAATTTGGCCACTCCAATATAAAATCAAAAGAGAGAACCTGAAGCCTAGACCAACAGCTTTTCATGCCCAACAAGTAAACCACAAAGGCACATAAAGTTTACAAAAAGAAGCAGACCTAAACTCAACAAAGGAAGGCTTGTGTCTCACACATGAACCAGAATCTATAAAAGAAATCCACATGTCAAAGTCACAGAGAAAAATAATAACATGAAAAATCAAAATAATATATCCCCACCAAGTACCAACAGTCCTGTAGAGACTACAATGAGAGCCCCCTAGAGATAACATCGGACATGAAACTCAAAAGAACAATTATAAACATAAAAGAATTCAGTGAATTTAAAGAACACACAAAGAAAGAAATCAAAG